GATTGGGGATCACCCAAACCAACCTCTTCAAGCCGAGTCCAATTCGCCCCTAAGACTCGAAGGAGAAACTTCATTCCCGACGAGCAAGATCTTCAGTCCCGAAGGCAGCTAATTCGTCAAATTGACCACAAGATCAAGAGACGGAATGCCCGACGCTGGAAAATCGATTTCAAACCTACCGTGCTTGCCACCATTATCGAAGATCCAGCAGAAGAAGATTTGAGTGACATTGAGTCGTCTTTAGATACTGGATTTATTGATGGCGAAGTCGACCCTGAAATCATTGCAATCGCGCTCAAGAACCACCGACAAATGCTTCCAACGGTCCTTCATGACATGCTCTCCAATATTCCCATACCCATGGATTTGGATGACGACGACGACAACAACGACGAGCCCTGCATGGAAGAACAAGCACCATTGTCACTCAAGCGAACCGCAACTTCCTGCCTTATTTCATCCAGACCCACCAAGCGTCGCAAAATGAATTCATCATCTACGGTTCCAACTTGCGCTGCAACATGGGCCAAACGAACCAACGAACTCTTCACTCCTTTGCTGCCTGTCATTATCGAAGATCCAGAAGAAGACGGCGACGAGAGCCACATTGACTCGTCGTTGGATGCTGGATTCAACGATGACATCGCCAATCAACGATCGACTCAACTTGCCAAAGCTGACGCCATTTGGGTCAAGAAGGCCGAGGAGATCTTGGGCGAGAAGGCGAATTTGAACAAGATGACCAAGACCGAGAGAGCCAAGTGGGCAAAAAAGGCAAGGGCTAGAAATAGCAAGGGCCAGAAGGAGGAAATGTCTGAAAAGGAAATCGATTTTGAACCAACCCTTCTTGTCATTATCGAAGATCCAAAGAAGGAGGAAGAAGAAGTCGACGACGTGAACGAGAAGAAGGAATTCAAACCTTCCCTCCATGTCATCATCGAAGATCCAGAGGGAGAAGACTTGAGTACCATTGACGAGTCGCCTTTGGATGCTGGATTGATTAATGACGACTTCGATTCTTTGGAGGATGGCAGCGATGGCGAGATTTTTGCAGCACCAACCGAGCAATCTGACAACGCAGCTACTAATGATATTCCTTCTGATGAAATGGGATCTGGATGGACCGAATCTGGAAAGCGCTACAGTCGACGACTACAGCTCAAGCTTTCGCCAGATAAGAAGGACCCTTCTACTGAAGCTTTGGGATCTGGAATGACGGAAAAAGGACGACGATACAGTCGCCGAGTGGTAAATCGAGGAAAAGGTGCCAATTAAAGCACATTCTTGCTACGACTTTGAAAGAGATGAAGTATGATAATAGTGTGCGACAACACACGAA